GGAGGCCCGGCAGCGGCGGGGGGCTCGGGGCTCGGGGAGGGCCGCGGCCCACGCGGGGAGCGGCGCGGGGCCGGGCGGGCGGGGGTCGGCGGCGCTGACATCCCGGTGGCGGCGGAGGAAGCGGGGGGGCGGCGGCGGCGTGTGCGCGGGTCTGTGTGTGCGAGTGTGTGTGTGTGCGTGCGTGTGTGCCGCAGGGAACGGCGAGGCGAGCCTTCCCCCCCCCCGTCCCCAGCCCCGTCCCTCCCCTGCTCCCCCTCCCCTCCCCTGCCCGCCCCCGCCTCAGCTCCTTTAATACACTTTGGTTCTCCGCTCGCCTTTGGACTCTGCTCTGCCTGGCTCCGGATACGACTCCGCCGGCGGCGGCTGCGGCGGCATCGGGCCGGAGCGGGCGCGGGCGGCGGCGGCGGGGGGACGCGGCGGCTGCCGGGGGGAAGCGGAGCGGAGCGGCGGCGGCCCCGCGCCCGGGCGGGCGGGCGGCGGCAGCCCGGAGGCGGAGGCTGTAGCGGGGAGGCGGCAGCGGCTGCGTCCCCGGAGCGGCGCGGACCATGCTGCTGGACGCCGGCCCGCAGTTCCCGGCCCTCGGAGTGGGCACCTTCGCCCGGCACCACCACTCGGCCGCGGCGGAGATGCAGGACCGGGAGCTGAGCCTGGCGGCGCAGAACAGCTTCGTGGACTCGGCGGCGGCGCACATGGGCGCCTTCAAGCTCAACGCCGGCGCCCACGACCTCTCCCCCGGGCAGAGCTCGGCGTTCACCTCGCAGGCGCCCGGTTACCCTGCCGCCGCCCTGGGCCCCCACGCCGCTCACGTCGGTTCCTACTCCGGGACGCCGTTCAACTCTACCCGGGACTTCTTGTTTCGCAGCCGGGGCTTCGGGGACTCGTCGCCGGCCGGCGGGCAGCACGGCATCTTCGGCCCTGCGGCCGGCAGCCTGCACCACCCGCACACGGACGCTCAGAGCCACCTCCTCTTCCCGGGCATCCACGACCAGCACGGTCCCCACGCCTCCCAAAATGTTCTCAACGGGCAGATGCGATTGGGCTTGCCGGGGGAGGTATTCGCCCGGTCGGATCAGTACCGCCAGGTTTCCAGCCCCAGGACTGACCCTTACTCGGCGGCTCAGCTGCACAACCAGTACGGCCCCATGAATATGAATATGGGCATGAACATGGCAGCCCACCACCACCACCACCCAGGTGCCTTTTTCCGCTACATGCGGCAGCAGTGCATCAAGCAAGAGCTCATCTGCAAGTGGATCGATCCCGAACAGCTGAACAACCCCAAAAAAAGTTGCAATAAAACTTTCAGCACCATGCACGAGTTGGTCACCCACGTCTCGGTGGAGCACGTTGGGGGACCCGAGCAGAGCAACCATGTCTGCTACTGGGAGGAGTGTCCCCGCGAAGGCAAACCTTTCAAAGCGAAATACAAACTGGTCAATCATATCCGAGTGCACACGGGAGAGAAACCTTTCCCCTGCCCCTTCCCTGGCTGCGGAAAAGTTTTCGCCAGATCAGAAAATCTCAAAATTCACAAAAGGACGCACACAGGTAATTCGGGTTTCTTTCGCCACATTTCCTCCCTCTGCCCGTGCCTATATATGCGTGTGTATATATATGTGTAAACTGATAGATACTCAGACAGAGCAATGTTAAATTAGGAGGGTGATAAAATAAGCCTCCAGTTTATTTTTTTAACCCTCTCCATCACATGGCTACGTTTGTTTTGGTTTCTTCCCCAGCAGCATACACCCCCCTCCATCCCAGATTTCGAAAGGATATTTAACTGATTTGTTTTAATTTGGGAGTGAGAGCCGTAGATTCGTGCTGAGATTCAGCGGAGTCTTTCCGCAGAAACGCGGAATACAGCGCGAACCAAATTTTGCCATCTTGCTAAAATAGGGGAAGACATCCGTCCGTCCATCCATCCATCCATCCATCTGAAACGCCTTAGTCATTTGCTCTGTGCAACGTATTTGCATACAACTTCAGCGCTTGTGGGCATGACTTTTATTTATGGATACTCAGAGAAACTATATAAATACGTGCAAAATCAATCGTTAGTCCGAAATCCCGTTAGAAGTGGCAAAAAGTCCCTTTCTGGGAATGTTTCCCATTAAATTTAAATGGTGTGAGCAAGGCAATAAAATTTTCTCATTTAAAAAAAAATAAAAAAAATTGTTTTTAAAGTCTCACTCGATGTGATTTAAGGTGTTTTTGCAACAGTTTATTAAATTATGTAATAGGGAACAGAGGATTTGAGGTTCGGAAACTTCCACCCAAATCAGGTGGAAGAGGGTCGAGGGAGCTCGGGCTTTCCTGATGGAAAATCGCCTGAGCCGAAGGGTAACAAAAATAAACGCATCCTCCCGCCTCATCTATTATTCATTTACTACTCCTGCCGGCTCAAACCGTGCCAGACTATTTCATAAAAGACGGCCAAATATTTTAGCGACTTCCACTCCAAATATTTACCCGGAGAAAGGCTAAAAATCTCGAGGCCTATTGTTTTCTCAAGTGCTAAGCCCGATGCGAGGTGCGAGACGAGCTTTAACAAGGTTTAAAATTTGAGAAATGTATTTGCATGAGATGCCCGCACTGAAGTCATTGTGTCTGAGCGGATGTCTTTAAGAAACAATTTAGGTGCTAATGGAATCTAATGTTAAATGCTTCCCCTCCAAAGGCGGGGGAATGTGGAGTTCTCACCTCCAAAGTACTCCCCGGCATTTGGAGTCCTGGCAGCCGGGAGAGAGGAATCCCTATGAAAATTAAATGAAGTATTTTACAGACGTTTAGTTTTCCCTGCGGATGTGCGTTTATCTCGAATATCCATACACGAAACAATATACCCGGCCTTAAATCTGTCGGTAATGGTTTCCAGTTTAACAGGATAGCGGATTTGGTAGCGAGGCGAAACGGCTCGGTGATGCTTGCTTCTTTTTTTTTTTTTAATCGTCTTTCTTCTTCAATCTCTTTCGGGGCTGGCTATGTGCGTCGGTACCGGCCGAAATAAAATCGGGCGAGATGCCGGGACGGGGACATCCCCGGGGTTTTGGCAGGAAAACCGGCCGGGGGACGGGGGTTGCCTCGCTGCAGGGCAAGGCGTGAGCGACGCGGGCCTCCGGCGCCGCGGGCGCCGGGACGCAGCCGGCCGGCCCTTCCTTGGGGAAACTGCCGCACGAAGCGAGCGGGAGCGGAGGGCGAGGGCGGGGAAACTCTGCGCGGGGCCGTGCGGGGTTTGCGCGGGGCCGGCCGCGCTCACCCCGCTGCTGCGCCGCTCTCTTGCAGGGGAGAAGCCCTTCCAGTGCGAGTTCGAGGGCTGCGACCGGCGCTTCGCCAACAGCAGCGACCGCAAGAAGCACATGCACGTCCACACCTCGGACAAGCCCTACCTGTGCAAGATGTGCGACAAGTCCTACACGCATCCCAGCTCCCTGCGGAAGCACATGAAGGTACCCGGCCCCGCAGCCGGCGGCGGGAGGCGGGAGGGCGGCCGCCCCGCTCCGGGCGCCCCGACGGGGCGGCGGGCGGCGGGCGCGGGGCCCGGGGGCGGCGGAGGGCCGGGCCGGCGGCGGGGGGCGCGCCCGGGGGGCGGCCGCGGCCTCGCCATCCCCCCTCCACCCGGCCGTGTTGCCTTTGCCCCCCAGGTGCACGAGTCGTCCCCGCAAGGCTCCGAATCCTCCCCGGCCGCCAGCTCCGGCTACGAGTCCTCCACCCCCCCGGGGCTGGTGTCCCCTAGCGCCGAGTCGCAGAGCACCAACAACCTCTCCCCTGCGGCGGCGGCGGCGGCGGCGGCAGCGGCGGCGGCCGTGTCCGCCGTGCACCGGGGCGGCGGCGGCGGCGGCAGCGGCGGCGGCGGCGGCGGCCACAGCGGCCTTTCCTCCAACTTCAACGAGTGGTACGTGTAGGGCCCCGCCGGACTGCGCTGCACGGCCCCGCCGCGCCCTCCCCGCCCCGGCGGCGGCGGTGGCGGTGGCGGCGGGCAGGAGGGACCGAGCGAGCCCGCCGGAGACGCGCCGGGAGATGCCGCCGCACCCGCCGGCAGCAAAATGACGGCCGAGCAGGATGGGGACAGGGGGCCTTCATCTCCCCACACCCTCCCGCCTTCGCGTCTTTTTTTCTTTTTTTTTTTCCCTTTTTTTCTGGTTGGATTTTTTCTTTTTGAAAACATTTTGAACCAGCAAAAAAAATTCCAAAAACTACGTGCTGAAAAAACATAAGAGAATGAGTAAATCAACGGCGGAACGGAAAGGGGAGAGAGAGAGAGAGCAAAACATCCCCGTGCTCCACCGACACATCACCCAGCTAAAAGCTTCCCAAGCCGGCGGAAAGAAACTCTCCCTCCGGAGTGTTCAGACAAAAGATCAGAGACTCAAACTCCTCTGGTCCCCGCGCCTCCCCTGCCCGGAGCAGCGAACGCCCTCCCGTCCCTCGAACTGTGTATATAGCGGCCCTCTCCTTCCTCCGGCGAGGTGGGGAACGAGGTTTTCCTGGATTATCGGTGTATAGAAGTTCGTCCCGTTTGTAAACCGCGGATTGGTCCCTTTCTTCTTCTTCTTCTTCTTCTTCTTCTTCTTCTTCTTTTTTTTAATCTTTCTTTTTTCCCCCTCTTTCTCCCTCCCCGAGAAAGTGATGGACTTGTTTTCTTTTCTCCCGCTCTCCCTCCCCACTTCCTTCTCTCCTCCTTTTTTAGTTCATCCCTTTGAAAAAAAAAGTAACGTGGAAGAAAAAAAAAATGGTTTCTTTTGTAATTGTGATATCTTGAATATTGTGTTCCTTTTTAAGAAGCAACTTGATTGTAAACTGCATTTCAACGATAGACTGGGGAAGAAATACCGTGCCAAAGTCTCCATTCTGTTACTCACAGACACACACACGAACAACAACGCTTGTGAATGTATTTTTCTGTTAGCTGGGTTTACATGTGATGTTTTAGTGCTTTTGCAAGTTCAATTTGTTAGTTCCTGTTCGGAAGATTGTGAGGAAAAATAAACGTCGTGCCGTTAGCTTTTCTGTAATAACGCCCTTCCTCCTGTAAATACCTGTTACCATATTTATCCATTTGTAATTAAATTATGGTATTAACTTGCTACAGAGGAAACAGTATTTATAAAGAATGTTTCTTAACTATAAATATGTACAATTGTGAGCATAAACTGTTTCAGATTTTTTATTTGAAGGTTTAAGTGGTTTCATCATTTCTTGTGATATGTTTTGAGAGTAATGCATACAAAAATATAATAAAACGTGTTGAAACTGCACGAGCTGTTTCCTTTTTATGCCAAAGGCTCTCTAAAACCTGCTGTAAGGTATGTGATGGGCTGAGCGGCGACTGCAAAACAAATGCTTTTAAAACTTCCGCTGGTTACTGGAAGAGGAGGATTCCTTCCAGCTGGGCTCTCCCGTCCAGAAGGAATAAAAGGGGAAAAAAAAAAAAAAAAAGAAAAAAAGGTCACGAAAGCCCCTAAAACTTTGTGAAGCTTCTGAGCTGAAAGAAAAGGGTGAGGGAGGATATGCATATTCTCCAAATGACTTTCAAGGCAAGATCTCCTTTAGTAAGATATTTACCCGGCGAGAGCACATCTTCCTCCGGCTCCTGCCGTCCTCGGGCTCGCCCCTCTCCCCGGTGCGTGTCTGCCTGGGGGATCATTGCCCCAGAGAAACACGGGCGTTTCGGGACGGAGGTGGAGGGGCAGTGACAAGGCTCTGAGCTCGGCTCTTTGAGCCATAGATGGTCCTTGCCTCCCGTGTTGTCATCTTTTTGGCAGCCTCCGTACGGCCCGGAGAGAAGGAAGTTGTGATGACCGAGAGCTCACATTTCCCCCTTGATTTTTTTCTCTCTCTTTTTCTCTCTCTTTTTAAAAAATTATATTTTATTTATTTTATTGTATTCTAGCCCAGAGAGCGGTTTGGGTTGTCAGATGTGTTCGGGGAGGGACGGCGAGCGGCCGGCCGATGGCTTTCCCGGGATGCTGGCCCGGCGTTTGGCTCCAAGCGCGACGTCGGGGCCCGGCCGGCGGAGCCGCCCGCGCAGGGCAGGCGGACAGCGGCTCTCCGGGCACCGGGACACACAGGGAGAGTGTCACAGCGGCAGGGAAATCGTGGCAAAAGTTGGGCCTTGTCAAGCCGCCGAAATGCGCCCTGCGAAGCGGCAGCGCTGTGACTGGGCTCCGAGCGCCCTGCGGTGGCTGCGCTGCCCTCAGCGGCGGCTTGCGCAGCCCGGGAGAGCCTCTGCTCCTCACACCGGCCGGGCCCAGCCCTCGCACCCCCCGGACCAGCCGCCGCTTTGGGGTTTCGGGCTTCGTGCCGTGTGTTCCAATATCAATAGAGCTGTCTCCGGCCGGTGTGAGGGAGTTAGGCGAGGAGGTGAGGGTACGCGGGCCCTGCTCACTCGTGGGGCGAGATGAGGGTTACCTACACCCAGGGGAAGGGGAGGAGGGAGGGAAAGACACCCCCTCCCCTGTCCCGCTGCTGACAAGGAAGTTTAGATGTGGAGCGGATCCGGAGCTTCCTCGGCGGCCGTGCTCCTCTCAGAGCGGCCATCCCCGCGCACCCGGCAGCTCCCCGGGAAATCAAACTGCTATTAAAACCTAATTTATGTTCGGTAATATTACGTAAAAAAATATTTATTAAAATCATTGGCATATGCCGCCTGCCCCTTGGAGACATCCGTGGGAAATGCAGCTGAGAGGATCCCTCCTTGTCCTGCCGGCCTTCCCACAGCTGAAAAACCGTACGGGGGTCCCGCTTCAGAGGCAGTCCCTGCCAGCCACCTCCTGCCCAAATCCCCTCCCGGGCCCAGGGGCGGACGAGCAGCCCTGCCCAAGGGCCACCAACCCCGCTGCGCCGTCCCCCGCCCCGGCGGGCTCATCTCCGACCGCTCGGCAGCTGAGCTCCCCTTCTCCCTGCCCTCGGAGCCGCTCTGTCTTCGGGGGAGCCCAGGGATGATCCTTGAGGGGGCTAGGCGGCCTCCCTCTGGCCAAAGCGCAGGTCGTGCGGCAGCAAGGATAGCCCCAGCCCCTCCGGCAGGGATGCCTGTGCTCCGGCAGGCCCAGGGACGCGGCCGTGGCGCCTGTGGCAGTGAGCAAGCTCCCCCTCCTTCCCTGTCCTACCCAGGCTGGCCTTGAACTTGACCCTCGCCTTGGCGCATCCCGCCCGCAGCCCCTCTCCGCCCGCCTCCCTCGTGCCCTGACCCTGGCCCGGCCCTGCCACGCTCAAAGGAGAGCGGGAAGTCATCAGGCTCAGGGGTTGGGGCTTTTTTAGGGGGTAGAGCAGCCAAGATCCCTCTCACAGCCTTGTGCGAGGGTGGCCCAATGGCCCCGAAGTCCTCCTCTTCGCCCTTGTCCTTTGTCCACCTCGACACCGTCAACCCCAAACCCCTCCCTCTCCCCAGCTTTGTCTCCTACGCTGAACCTGCACTTCCCAAATCTCCCTGCCCTGGCCCTGCAGACAGCTTGGGAACCAATCTGGACGGAGGCCTGAGGCTTCCCCAGCCGTCCCGAGCCTGCCCCGGCATTCCGCGGTGCCCTCATGCCCTCAGCGAGCGGGTGTCCCTGCCGGTGCCCGCACTCCCCGACGGCTCTGGCCCGACGGCTCCCGGCGCTCCTCGGCCCCACGGCCCCGCCGTCGGTGAGCAGCGGGAGCACGGCTCTGCCCCGCTGCCGGCATCCCGTGCCCAGCTGTGGCAGCAGCCCCACTTGGCCGGCTGTCCTGCCGTGGTGTGATTCCTTCTTTATACCGTGAAAAGCAGCATGGAGGGGTGGCTTTAATTTTTATCGTTGTTAATCATTATGAAATCCTCCCCTAACCCTTCCTGCGGACTCCCTGAAAAGACGGGTTGATTTCCCTGGGAATTACTCTCTCTTCTCAAGCCAAAAAATCTGGGGGTCCGTCCATACAGCAGGCTGTGCTTTGCCCCCCGCGCCCACAATCGGAGGGCAGTTCGGGGCTCTGCCGTCACCTGCCCCCGCTCCGCTCCACCTGGCCGGGCTGCTCTGGCGCCTTTGGGCTCCAGCCGGTGGCGGCAGAAAAAACCCGAGCCCAAACCGAAAGGTAAACCAACCTCCCGACAAACCAACAGACATGACAGCAGCCCAGACCGAAACAGGATAAAATGCAGGAGCTCTCGGCCGAACCCGAGCGGGGAGCGGCGGCCGAGCCTGGCGGTGCCGCTGGCGCTGCCGGTGCCGGTGCCGGTGCCGGCGGGGCTCCGCAGCGGGCAAGGGCTGCCCTGCACGGCCAAGCCCCGCCGCCGGTGCCGGGGGCAGCAGCCCGGGCTGCAGCCGCTCCGTTTGGCTCCGGCCAGACCTCCCCAAACCCGTATCAGCCTTTTAAGTTTCCCCTTTGTTTTCAGAAACTCGTACACATTTCCTGCCCGCTATGAAGACATAGCAGGCTCCCCCAAACCTCTCCCCAGCCATAAGTGCGCGCTAAACTGTGCCTTCCCGGGCACAGCGAGGTATGTATATTTTTCAATTTGTCATCTTCACGCATGGTTGTGAGGGTTGGGGTTTTTTTGGTTTTTGGTTTTTCTTTTCTTTTCTTTTCTTTTCTTTTCTTTTCTTTTCTTTTCTTTTCTTTTCTTTTCTCTTCTTTTCTTTTCTTTTTTTTTTTTTTTTTTTTTGGTGGTGTTTCTTAATTTCTTGGCTCCCTTTTTTTTTCTTCCTCTTTTTTCCCCTACTCCTTTTTTTCATTCCTCTTAGGTTTTAGATTTTTTTTCCCCCCTATTGTTTTTGGTTTTTTCCTCTTTTCCCTGAGCCAGACGACCAGGGATGGAGCTGCATATTAGCAGCAGAGAAAGCAAGAACTATTGTCCCACCCTGCAGGGCACGGTGCCCCCCTCTGTCCCAAAGTGCAAGCCTTCCCCAGTGCTTGGAGTTTCCTCACTTTTCTTTCTTTCTTTCTTTTC